TTGCGTTTCACAGGAGCTCTGGTAGCGTAGTGGCTGCGAATCGGGCTGCGAACAGCAAGGTCAGCAGTTCGAAACTACCAGCTGCTCCGCGGGAGAAAGATAAGACTTTCTGCTCCCGAACCGACTCCACAGCACATAACAACAACATTCAAGCAGGGAATCCTGGTGTGACGCTGTAGGATAAGCACAGGACTGCTAACCCGCAAGGTTCACACTTGAAAGTCATGAGCCGCTCCTCGGAAACCCTATAAAAGGTCTCTATGAGTCGGAATCCGTTAGATGTAAAACAATTCAATCTATAACACTGACCCCAGAGATACTGATCTCGAAAGCAGGATTTCTCCTATTAACCCGACTTCCTCTTTTGAGCTGATGCTATTCCATTTCCAAGCTATCCTATTTCCGATCTCAAATAATTAGGGGTTTTCAACTATGCCTTTTTCACTTAATAGTCCAGGTGAGGCAAGAAGAACAGTCCACAGCCACCATCCCTGGTCCACAGTCCCCCAATCCTCTAGAAGGGAAAGGAGGAGCGGTAGTTTCCCTTCCCAGATAGAACAAACTCATGTTTTGAGTGCCTGGAGCTCCTACGGGGAGGGGAGTGGAGAGCAAGTGGAAGAAGGGAAACGGGGTGCCAAGGGATGGGTAAAACTTCACCTACCCCTCGGCGCCACGGGGCCCTCTAGTGGCCACAAGGGGTAGGGACTGGGTAGGAATGAAGAGAGATGAAACAGTGGAGTTGAAAGTGAACCCAAGTTTCAATGGAGAGAGGAAAGCAGCCAGATATCCAAGGTTCCCAGCGGATTACGTCGTATTTAGGACCCTCCTTAGTGTGCAAGGGCAGGGAGAGCGGAGGGGTCACATCGAAGTGATGTGCACACAATAAACTGGATATTATAATAATCATTTCCAGAGGAACCTACGTTTTCCTAGCAGTGGCAAGCGGGAACAGGGGTGACAGATATTTCACTAAGGCTCCAGAGCACAAGAACCATTCACACATACCCCTCACCCTCAACTGGGGCAGAGGTTCTTATTTGTATTCCTACTGGCATCTCGTTTGTGTAAGTTATTTCCCCCTCAACAGGCAGAAATCCCCACTCGCTTTCTCAATTACTCCCAGCTGAGACTCCCTTCTCCAGAGTCTTCACCGGCCTCTGGACCCAGGCACGTCTGCTCATCAGTAACTCTCCGTCTTTCGCCTTCTTAACAGTTACGTACCCCGCATCAAAGAAGCAACTCGAGCTCCGAACAGGGTTCGAAGAGCAGGGAGACCTGCGCCGCCTAGTGGCGGGCTGGGGACGGGGGTGGGGCTGAGGGCACAGGGGTTCTGTTTCGCCCTCTCTGGGACGTGGAGTTTTGGAAAACGTTCCCCGGAGCTTCCTGAGGCTAAATTTACCTTCCTCCGCCCTGGGGGGCACAGAGATCCCGGCGGCGATTAGCGCTACAAGGCAGCGGGCTCCCGCCCAGAGGCCCGGAATAGGCCCCGAGTTATAAATAGTGCCGCCCGCAGGTGTTGGGGGAGTCGGCGGGAGGGGGGGTACCCCTGGCAGCCACGGTCCCTTTAGGTGGGTTGGGCGGTCGCGGTGGGGGCGCCGGGGGGCGGCGGACGGGGGGGCTGCGGTCTGAGCGCCCCCGGCGGTTTCCTGGGCGGCGGGTTTTTTCGAGGGAAGCGAAGGCAGCGGGCTTGGGGGGGAAGGGCGAGAAGCGGTGGGCGCCTGGCTCGGGCTGACGCTTGGCTTCCAGCTCAAGCCTCCCACATTTCGAAACAGGCCCCCAGACCCAGTCACGCAGGTCCCCGCCCAGGCAGAATCTCTTCTCTTTTCCCCACCTTCTCTCCCCTAGACTCTGCAGGCATCTAACTCCTGTGCAACTGCCCCATGGTGCATGTAACAGTTGGGCACCTGGCTGCCACTCCAAATCGCTGTCCCCAATCTTAAGTGTATAGTCATCCCTCGTTAAGTGCCGTCGAGTCGGTTCCGACTCATAGCGGCCCTGTATAGAGTTTCCAAGGAGCAGCTGATGAGCTTGAACCGCCGACCTTGTGGTTCAAATAAACCTTGCGGATCAGTGCTATATCCCACAGCGCCACACCAGGACTCCACAGTCATTCCTAGGAGGGGTTAACTCCAGCGGGGCTTGCTTTTCCCTCTTGGTGCAAACTCTTCACACAGTATTTATCCACCAAATGCTACTTTCCCCAAATATTAAGGTCTAGCTGGTGGTCCGGACGATTTAAATTTAAACATGCGGATCTGGTACGCTCCCCTACCCGCCAGAGGACCCTTCAGGACCCACACTTGCTCAGGACCTCCGGGTTCCAGTCTGGGCCTGGAGGTGGGGTGGAGGCAACAGGCCCCGGGGGCCCAGCCGGGGTTTCGTGGGAGGGGGGGCGGCCCCCAGTAAACGTTTCTGGGCCGCTGCTGTCTCCGTGGTTTGGCGCTTGGTATGAGCTGGGGGGGGGGGGAGTTAGGCGGGAGTTTCAAGCTGGGGTTCCCCCCTCCAACTTCTTAGCCGAAAGAGGAGTTGTGTGGACCAGAAAAAAGGGAACTATGGAAGAGGGTCTCAGAGAACTAACAGGAAGTTCAGGACTGTAGGGACTAGAGTGGGAAGTAACAATTCGGTTTCTGAAAGATCTGTGTTGTGTCTAGCAAGGCGCCAGAAGTGACCCCCACAGATGGGGGTCCAGTCCAGTGCACTTAGCACAATTTGCTTCTCAGTACCCAAGGATTGGTGCCAAGGCGCCCGCCCTTCTCCTGCCTTTAGGAAGCCCTGACTCTGCCCTCCCTGGGCCACTTTCCCGCCCACTTTTGCTCGGCCTCCTCCCAGTAGTAGCCCCCTCTCCATTTCACTACTGCATCTGCCACTTCCTCGCCCTTGGCACTGCCCTTCCCCAAGCCAACGCGACCCCGACGGCAGATTGTCAAAGGAAAAAAACCCCCGGACTGGACCCCACCCGCTCCCGGCAGTCGCGGACCCGACTCTGTCCCGCAGGGCGGAGAACAAAACCCGGAGCAGTGACCGGCCTCAGGACCCAAGGGGGCAGGGAAGATAGGAAAACCCGGAGCGGATTACCAGTTGTGGAGTGCCTCATGACTGTTGCCCCCCTCGTTTCTATAGCCCCCCTAATTCTCCAGTGAGATAATGTCTGGGGTGGGGGGCTGTTTGGTTTGGCCTAGGCCCTCAGGGGCGCCTCACACTTTCCGCCCCTGGCTGGGGCGCAGGGCAGCAGCCCCGAGGCTGAGTCACGGCCCGGCCCGGGAGGGAGAAGGAGGGAGGGGCTCGGGCTCCGCCCCTCCCCCTGCGCGGGGATCCCGGGTCAGCCCGGGTGAGGGCCAGGGCCCCCTGGCGCCGCCCATTGTGGTCCAACAGGTTGAGCTGGTGTCCCGCGGAGCCACCTGCTGGAAAGGGCGGCGGGGGG